GACACTCTGTAAAAATGGACGTTAACGTGATTATAAATTTGCATTTTACATAGTCAAAATACAATAGGTATTGCGCAACCATGATATGTTATGTCATTAACCTTGGTTCAGTAATAAAAACTACACCGTGTGCTTACTCAAACAAAACAAAACTTGCTTACTGTACAGCAATAAACACGTAAAGAACAAAACAAAAGGAAATCTAGACTAGTAGACTACTGATACCGTAGTCATCATAGGCTACTACTACATGATGTTTCAGAACAGAAGTATGGTGATAAAAATATTAAATACCGTAACTCATAAAACACTATAAAATCATAGTACTGTACTAAAGTCTTTCTGGTAATAACACCAGTGATAAAAATAAGATAAAGATAACAATGATGTAAAACCCCTCTTATTATTTCTCTTTGTTCTATTCTTTCTTTGGTTTCTCTCCATCCACAAGTGGTCATGGTTACTAATTACCCAACGACCCAACCACAAAATGTTGTAGTGTTGTGACAGCAGACAGGAGCAGACGATTGTCAGTATGTCAGTGTCAGTGCAAGATTGTCAGTCTGTAGATGCGAGCGTATAGCTTGACCTTGAAGCTACTGATCGATATTTCTCCGTTTTGCTTCCATCTTATTTTTGTCAAATGAACTGTAATGTTTCAATAATGGGGAACCTACTGCAGATAAAAATTGCCGTAAATAGATATATAGTTCATATCGAAATATTAGACTGAAAAACACAATTCATAAAACATTTTCTTGGGATTTCTGAGGTAATATAATATATAGGCATCATGTTGATCCGATCCCAGTTGAGCGAGGTTCTAATGTATTTGCAAGTTTAAGCCACAACTCCATCACATTATGGTTGGTATTCAATGACCGATGTATTATCAAAAATTAATTCTTAACTTATTTTGATATTAAACAGAAGCATTCATTACAGCTTGCAGCACATATTGGTATATATAAATCTCCAAGTTACTATTACTAAAAAAAATAAAACACGAAATTGTGAGGCCGTTCAATTTTTATAAACACAGTGTTAAACATTTTACTCTGCAGAATACCGGATGGTAAAGAGTGTTTGGTTTCAAGAAAACAAAATAAAAACATTGTTTAGCCAGCTTTACTATTTATAGAAAAAAAAAAAAACAATAGAAAGGAAACCATAAGGATAGGTATAGGATTGAACTGAAATAATTGCAGGGAAACTTAAATAGTAAAGTCCACAAACTGTACATCGTTAGAGATAGAGAGGGGGGAGTGAGAGAGAGGGAGGGAGAGAAAGAGAGAGAGAGATTTGATAAGGAATCTGAGAAGTAAACAAATAATCGTTTCTGGCGTTTGTCATGGTGTACCCCCCCCCCCCCGTATTTGCACTCGTGACCACTTTTTGTTGCTTCCTTATCTTTCATCCGTCCCAAAATAGAATTCCTGTAATGGTTTGTTTGTAAAATTAAAATTATTATAAACATATTTTATCTATCGAGTGTAGTTTCGTGGTTATTCTTATCAGATAGAATAATATCGTTGCCACATGTAATAGTTCCTCCTTCGCGTTACGCAATAGCGTAAATAAACAGTTTCCGTATCTCGGAGAAGATTCACGTATGTTTCCCGAGATAAAGAAAATCCGTATAATTCCCGATCTTCCCGGTCCGTGGACACACTGATTGTACGTCAATAAAGGAGATATTGACTAAAATTTCTACTGAAGGTTAATAAAAAAAACTTAAAATATGGGATGATGACCGGGTAGGTTTTTAAGATTCAACCATTTATAATTAATTAATATTCGTAGTTCCTTATTAGAGGTGCATCATCTTTATTTGGAATATGAACATGTTTAAACATTAACACGTAGTTAATCACTATCCCAATATCAATAGTAACAAGGAGTAAACGAAGGTTACCGACCGCTGGGTGTTACCGTTACAAAGTAGGCGAGGAGGGTGCCGTACTGGCTACACTACTCCACGATAGAACACACGATGAGACAGTCTCCCTCCGCATTGGTATTGCAGTTACGCTTACCGACACAGGCAGCAGCACCGGTTAAGCTGTTTTCAAACGTATAAAGTGCACGGGAAGCCATACCTGACTGGCTTTTGGGAGAGCTGACTGGCTTTCGGGCGGGTGACTGCCACACCGAGTAAATTACCAGCGCGGTGACTGCCAAACCGGGTGGGCACAAAAGTATATATATATAAAATTATATAAATATATATATAATTATATAAATATATATATGAATTTGAACGGATGGTTTTTTGGCCTCTAGGGACCTCGAAACGAAAAAAAAAATCGGTCCCGCGTCCAGGTCTTACCATGATAGCTTATAAGCTATTCCATGATAGTAATAGCTTATTCCCTATATGGGAAATTCGCTAAAATGAGTAGGAATGGACGGGTCCTGAAATTTAAAGACATTTTTTAGAAAAAATAAATCCTTGATCATCGGAACTGAATTACATTTGATTCGGGAGGTTCACGGATGGGATTTGTTTCATTTAATTGTCAGTAAATTCACCACACCGAGACTACCGCGAGTGACAATAATCACAATTGCAGTAGACAATGAGGATATGGTGGGTGACGATGACGACGTTAAGTTGCTCTCATATTGAACTCAACTATACAAAATGTTCTTTTTGTAATTTGTTGTAATAAATTCTTCATTCTTGATATACTCCACGGTTGCAAGGGATGTTCAAGATAGTTTTTCCTACCCATTTTAATTAGGGGTCTGCGGTGCACCGAAAAAGTCGGTACGGTACGGTACAAGCTTAATTACCGTCATCGGTTCGGTACAGCATTTTACACGGTACAAATTCGGTTCGGTACAGCCTATTATAATAATAAATTACTTTCAGTTTACTATTGTAGTCAACGGCAGTTGGTTCCGAGCACATAAAAGTCTTATCAGATGTTTGTTTACGATCTTCATAATTTATTACTAGCGTGATGATGCAATAAAAAACCCATTAGCAGTCCCAAATCCATTAATATTTTATCACGACAATAATTGTTGTATTGAAGTACTTCCAAGAACTGTTGAGTTTTATCACTTTTATTTCTTTACGACTTTCCCCAATTCTGTTTTATCATAAAAATAATAGTTTTATGATGACTGTTAAATGTTATCTCTAACTTAATCAGTATTTTCGTGAATATTGAATTTGCCGCTGGCCATTGCCTACTGCCATAAAACTTTTTATGGCTACATATTAAACTTGTAACAAATCTACAATCTTATTTTATAAATTAAATATTTGTTATGGATATTTTATCTTTCTATTGACGACCATGGATATATACAAACTTTTGTCGTGATTTTAATTTCAACATCAAAATACAATATTGCACAATCGTGATATTTTAGGCCATTGACCTTTATTATGCATCCGGTATTGCTGTTTCAGAAGAGAAGCACGTTGATAAATTATAAATTGATATTCCCGTAGTTAAAAAGAATTATTTTATAAACCTATAAAACAAAATCATAAAATCTTACATAAAGATAACAAAAAATAACGGAAATTGTAAAAAGGGAATAAAGATAACAACGTCATTATTCTTTCTCTTTGTTCTTCTATTTCTTGGGTTTCCCTTATCACCGTTATCAGCTTTTATGACATAGCGCACAGCAGGGGGTAAAACACTTGAGTGTAGCCGAGCGGCACTAATGAGGGTCGGACCTTCTTGGGGGTGAACAATAGACGGCTTATCAGACCCTCCCCTCCCCTCCCCCGTGGCCTGGAGAAAGCTTGTAAACAAACTATTGCACAAGCGCGCGTGACTTGACATTGGGCTGCTTCAATTATAATTTTGTCAAATGAACTGTGATGTTTCAAAATCAAAAACAATAATTTGGGACCATACTGCTTAACAATAATGGACTGCAATTATTGTTGAACATACAATCCATTTTTAACAAACTAAGATTATACGATTCAAATACAATTATAAAGATTATCTTGGTATTTTACTTGGGGTAATGAAGTTATGTCTAGGCTAGTGTAATTCTCGGTTCATCAAGGTTCTACTGAATTATGTTTGGCAGTGAATATGTGTAGAATGCAATTTATAAATTCAGGGATACACACCTTTTACACAGTTATAAAGTCTAATTGCCCAACATCAAATCTTACTCTGTGATAATCCAAATTTTAGTTTCAGAAAAAAACTTTGCAAGAATTGTATCCATCTTATAACTTAACTAGTTTTGAAGTTGATAAAAAAAAATGGTCTTTGCCATTACTTCATCATAACCTCCAGTTTTTCATTGTCATCTGCTGTGAATAGCTGGCAAAACTACACTGTCTTCTACTGAATGCTTTAATATGTTTTTAAAATAAAATAAAAAAAACAACTAGACATTGGGTTGGTTGGAAATAATTTACCAGTTTTGTGAAATTATCTTGTCAATAAATGTTTCAAACATGTTTATTCATAAAAACTCTTATCCTATTTTTAAACTACTTTATCATGGCTATTCAAAGTATCTCAGAGTAAAATAGGTAAAGCCTTTATCTCAACTGTGATTTTTCTTGACACAATCCTCGTAGTAGTAAAAGGTTTTGTTTTAATAATATGTGGTACAGTAATTGTTGTTAGAAAACCATGAATGTAGGATACTATCCATTTTCATAGTAATGTCTATGTATTAAAGTTAAAAATAATGGTTTGGATACAGTTCTGAGAAGAAAACCGCAAAAATACGGGTAGCCGCGTACCGTACCGATTTTGTACCGAGAACCGAGGTACAAAATATTGTACCGTACCGAACCGTACCGACCTTAAATTTTCTGTACCGCAGACCCCTAATTTTAATAGGTACACATTACAAGTATCCATTCAGGTCTTAAAGCCCTTCATTTTTTAAACAAAATGCAGTGATCTATCTGTTGGTGTAAATGCCTGGTTGAACTAACTAATAATTCAATCCCAACCATCCCTAAAAATATGTCAATAACTTTAAGTGATTCCTGGTCTTACCTGTGCTATCGGAGTGTGAGGTATAGAGGTGGGAGCAGACTCAGGCGGAGTAGACATTCCGCAGAATGACGTCGGACTCCATGGATCTTTCTCTGTAAGTCCACTACCACTACGACCAGCATACTTGTGTTCTACAAACATTAGCTCATATGTAGCCAATGTTGCTTGTTATATCAAAGTTGGGCTGATCAAAATAAAAGTAGCGAGGTAAACTAACTTTCTAATTCTATTTTCCACTAACAAGCAAATCCTAAAATTTTAAATTAATTTGGACCCCAAAAAATCTAATTTGAATTTGAGAGAACTGTTATGAAATAAATAATGAACAATGCTAGTTTAAAAGAAGTAAAACTAAAAAGAGCATTTTCAGTTAAAATAATTGGCAATGTTTTTCACATTCAATTTCTTAAGCAGGTAACTAGTTTTCACCAATCTAACATATCTTTAAAACATTACCATTGGATTCACTTGGTGTTTAGGGTAAAGCCCAAAATATCAACCTTTGTGCTTATTTTATCTGTCTTATTTATTATAAATTTAACTAAGAAAAGCACTTATTTGGTTTTATTTCGATAAAAAGCTAATTATATTTGATCAGAACTAACTGTTTGGCCCCACTTCAAATTCAAACTATATCCTTTCAATAATATGGGCTAAATTATTGGTAATATAACACTGACAACCAAGGTAGTGCATGAAATGGAAGAGGATGAGTAATTTTAGAGAATAATAAAAAAGAGGGACCCAGACCAGAACCTTGTGGGCTTCTGTCATTTATAGGTCATCATAATGTGAAAAAACTAACTTCGCTTATAATAGTTTATCCCAATCACATAGATATATGGTAACAAATTTGGAGGGGTTTTTCCTTTTACCGAGAGTTTGTGAGAAGTCAAGGCTAATCCTAGAACCACCATCATCTCTCGGCCGCTCTATCTCTCCTCCAATGGCATACTTGGCACACTCAACTATCACGTCGTGGGGCTCCAACTTACGCCACCTGACACAAGATCTTTTTAAGAAAGGAATAATGCCCAGCTAGCTTATCTGAGAAAATTATCAAGGGCTCATGCAATACAAAGAATGTTCTTACATAGACTAGAAATCTTTGAAAACATAAATGGTATTGTGATAATTTCTAAACTTATGAGTAACAGATTTTTGTTTACCTCTGGCAAATTTTTTAAGGCAGCGTTTTCAAACAAAAAGATGGACTATTTGAAGGAAGTAAAGTAATACCTGTTTCTGCCTTTAAAAATAGTCCAGGGCCAGAAACATGAATTTTGATTAATGTGCAAGTAAAATAGGTGTACACTTGGTATACATTATTAGTAAGTTTTTAAACATTAGTAACAAACTAAATAAAAAATGTTATTGCTACAATCTGTTTGTTATTGATATATATAAAATACTATACCTTGCAGGAGTGGTTTCAGGTTCTTTGTATGGCATTACTAGTGAAGGATGCAATTTTACATTGTCCAGCATAGGCTGAAAAATAATAGAATAGTTCAATAATTGCATAAATAATACCAAAGTACCAAGAAAGCTCCTTAAAAGCAATACTTCAACACAAGCATACAAGAAGGTGTAATTAATTTAAACAACTTTAATCTGTTACATCCATTTGTTGCATAGAACTGCAATAATACAAACTTAGGAGTAGGCATGATAATGAAATAAGTTAACACATATTTTACTGTTGTGTAGATTTAAATCATGATATTTACGATTTAAAAGTAGATTTAAATTTTGTGATATTACAGCAGATTCAAGAGTTAGATGACTATGATGGGCTGAACATGTCTTGAGAAGAGATATAGGAAGGAAGTTGGAGAAGGTCAGCCGAACAGGAGAAGACCACCTGGAAGGCCTAAAAGAAGATGGTGGGACAACGTGAGGATAGTTATCGAAAGAGCAGGAGCGGATGTAGATGAGGCATATGATCGGAAAAGATGGCGAGCAATCGTTGGCGAGGCCAAAACCTTTCTAGGGTATGGCCATGGGAGTAGGTAAGAGTAAGTAAGAGTAGATTCAAATACCAGCATAACTAGTGTTTTTACACACTCAAATATAGGCCTACAGTAGAACCTCGATGAACCGGGGGCAGATCAAACAGGCGATAGATAAACCATGGTCAATTGATGCCTCTTAAACTATGTTACATAACTTAAAAAAATACCAAGAACATTTTATAAATTGTGTTTTTTCAGTCTAATATTGAAATTCACTGTATGTATATACAACTAATTCTGACCATTTTTATATACAGTAGGTTCCCCCATTATTGTTTTTGAAACATCCCAGTTCATTTTACAAAAATTTAATGGAAGCAAGACAAAGAAATATCAATCAAGAGCTCCAAGATCAAGCTATCTGCTTGCACTGACTGTCTGCTCTTTACACATCTATCTGTTGTGCGCGTGCTATGTCACACCAGTTTGTGGTTGAGTAACCATGACAACTTGTTGAATGTGTCGATGAAGAGAATCCAAAGAAAGAATAGAAGAACAAAGAGAAATAATAAGTGGTGTTTTACGTCATTGTTATCTTTATCTTATTTTACAACTGTTGTCTTTAAGACTTAAGTACTATGACTTAATGCTGTTTTATGAGTTATTAATGTTTTTATCCACATTTTTCTGTTTTGAAACATCATGTACAGTTGCATTAGCCTATGAAACTACGGTAGCAGTAGTTTACTAGTCTAGACTTTCTGTTTTGTTAATAATAATAAGTCAATAAGTCATTTATTAGGCCAGATCAACAATTGCATTAGCCAAGTCAAATTAATACTTAATTGATTAAACATCTTGTTTATCTTACTGTGAAAACAACTTATTTACAAGCATTAACCACAAGTTAATTCAACTAGTGTTTTCAAGTTAAGTCTACCAGTTTTCACGGACGCTGTATACTGCATTATCTATCAGGATAGACTTTTAACTCCCTTCTAAATTTACCCACATCCTGTTCAGCCTGTAATGGGAAAGGAAGGTTATTGAAGAGTTACACAGCATTGTAGTGAAAATGCTTCTGGAAAAATGCAGTTGAATGAAATGAAATGAAATGAAATGAAATGTGTTTATTGTCTTGTGAATTTATACAAATTATTGACAATGTCCGAAAAACTGCTAAAACTAGCATAGTCAGTGTGACGGGTCGATTATATCGGTTAGTAAATAAATAATTAAATTTGTATATTAAAGCTAAACATTATAGAATGGATTCAATGGTAGGACAACTTTGTGTGAATCCGTCAGTATTCGGAAAATCAATACGCGTGCGCGCTTAACTTCGGAACCAATCAGAAAGCAGATGCTCCGGGCTCCGGGTACGAGGCTAGAGAGCTTCAGCGAGGAGATACCGTAGCGGAAGGACGTGTTTTGGTTTTAGTCCATATTTCTTAAAACGTAAAGACATCATTTGTTCCTACCACCGTGTCATAACTACCTTAATGTTAAAGTGAAGTGACCCGGATATCTATAACCGTTAACTTATCAGAACGAAATAGACTTAAAGTCAAGTTGGTGAAGCGGGTGACTGTGAATAGCAAAATGCCGGTCTTCGCATCATAGTGGGAAAATGGCGATGGCAGATCCTTGTCAACGAACGGAGACGACGCCGTGGCTAAACCTAACCTACGCAGTCGCAGGAGTGCTGACAACCGAGTCCAGGATTAGACCTCGTCCGGCTACGTTCATCTCATTACTACACTACTACACCAGATAAGATTTAAAAATTAATTAGGCCATATTACATAACTTATTATAAGTTAGGCTAGTTGATCTAAAGAACTATCTTGAAGATTTAAGATTCGCCCAAATGAATGTTTAATATTCTCTAACCAATTGAACTTTTCCTTTTTGTATTAATAAATTAATTTGTTACAAACAAGTGAACGTTTATTTTATTTGTAGAACAGCCCACAAGATCTGTAGCTTAATGAAATTAAGTATTAAATAGAGTAAATAAAATATTGACATTTAAATTGAAAGTAAGACAAAACATACCTTTTGAAAAGGTAAACAAACAAACAAGAAATAAACGACACAAAATGGCGTCCAACGAGTGGGCTGTTAATTTAATTGATTAAATTAATAAAAAGAACTTACAACCTGAGATAGGCTATGTCATTTTTAGGCCTAACTTTAATTGTAAAATGTAGTTTAAAAATAAGTTAATTAGGCTAGGCTATTTGTTAAGGATTCTGTGGTAAAAATGAGTAGTTCGGAATCAGAGGATGGTGTTCCTTTGAGTCAAATAGGCCTAATGACTAGACCTATATCTAATGAAAATATGATTGACAATAGTAAAGAAAGTTTAGATTCCTTTAATGTAAGCCAAGAGGTAAATATTGCAAACATAGAACATTGTGATGATGTAGAGAATATGGATGACTTGTTAAAGGTAAATAAAGACCATGAAACTGATTTTAAGTGTAAACCAGAACAGTCAAAATCAGTACCATTGAACAGTAATTTTGGAGGAGGGGGTGGAGTTGCAATATTGAACAAACCGGTAGAGAGTAGAGATGATGATAAAGATGATTTAGCTAAGTTGATTACGAAAATGTTTTTTGACCTTAAGTCTGAAAGTCAAGGGTTCAAAGACGAAATTAGAACTGAATTCCGTACAATCAGGGAAATGTTTGATACACACAAAGCGGAAATGAGGGTAGTAGTAGAGGGTTTGAATAACAAGGTAGAGCTAAATCAGGGCATAACAGTTTTGATCCAAATGTTATAGGATTTCAATTATTATCAGATAGTTATGGGGTTAGGTTAGGTCACCAAATCTTAAATAACCGTGTTATGCGCTCGCATAATGATAAGAATTGTATTAATTTTTGTGTTGGGGGGAATAAAATACAAGACCTCATTAAGCTAATTGAAGAAAATCCTAATGAACTTAACAGCAATGTAATCACCTGGATAGGTGTGAATAATTTATTAAATGGGGATGATGTTAAGACCATTTGTTCATTATATGACGTATTATTGGGTAAGCTATATGAACTAAAGAAAAATGTGTTAGTTATAGAAGTACCAGTTGTGCCTAGGCTTATAAATCAAGGTAGGGATCATATCCGTCAGGTTAATGAGATTAATGAACACTTAAAATCTTTTGATAGAAAAATGAAGACAAAATTCCTTCCAATTAATGACCTACTTATGACAAATAATGAGATATGCATAGATTTATATGAGAAGGAAATTAAAATTAAGAATAAAATATACCCTGATATGGTTCACTTAAATGAAAAGGGCTTAAAACTAATATATGACCGTTGTACAAAATTTATTGAAACACAGAGGAAAATAATGGCTAGTAGTTCTTTCACATGTCAAATAAAAAAGCCTAGTGAACAAAATCAATTAGTGGGGGGTCCTGAGCTAAGAGAAGAGCTCTTAGATGAAAACAGTTATAATAACCCTGTATCAAATCAGGTTGGGACAGCCTTGCTGGAACTAGAAATAATGATAGGTGAGGTTAGGGTAAAAAGTATAGTGGATTCTGATTCACAAGCAACTATTATGTCAGAAGATATGTATGACATGTTAAAAACAAATAGTCATATAGAAATACCGGAGTTACCAGTGACAAATGTTTCCGTACAAGGGATAACGGGAGTTAAATCAAAGAAAGTAAATAAACAAATATACTTACCCTGTAGATTAAATGACTCAGTCTTTGACATTCCATGCTTTATTGTCAGGGGCATACCTACCATATTAATTATGGGCTGTGATTTTTTTGAAAAGTTCAAGGCGATCATTGATTTTGAAAGTAACTGTATGATTTTAAATAATGGCAATGAAAAAACAAAAGTAAAGTTAAGTAGGGGTAAAGAGAATGGATGTATTTGTGGGATTAAAGTGATATATTCAAATTTCTTGAATACAGTAAATAGCAATGAACAAATCGAACTGGCAATGAATAGAGTCATTGATTCTCAAAATAACAGTAAGAATCTCGATAATGAAACGAAAATACTAAAAGTAGGCGTCGATACCAATAATGGAATCAGTGAAATTATTACTGATGTACAGATGAGCAATCCTCAAATGTCTAGTGAGAGTATAAGAAAGTTGGCTGAGGTTTTGAATGATAATAGTAAAGTATTTTCAGATAAGCCAGGTTTAATTAAAGGATTTGAAGCTAAGATTAATTTAACACAAGATAATCCGTTTGTAGGAAAGTCATATCCGATTCCATATCATAAAAGACAAGATGTACAAAAGGAAATAGAGAGTTTACTAGAAAATCAAATAATTGAAAGAACAAATAGTCCCTATAGCAATAGTTTGGTTGCAGTAACAAAGAAAGATGGTTCGACTCGAGTTTGTTTAGACAGCCGTGGAATAAATAAGTACATAATTAATGACTGTGAAAGAACTGAGAAAATTGAGACCATTTTACAAAGATTTTCGGGAACTAAATACTTAAGCTCAATTGATTTGACACAGGGATTTTTGCAGGTGGCTTTA